CCACTGCAACAACTCCATCTCTCTCTTTGTCAGCCACATGCGTCCCTATTTAGCTTCAGTGGATCAAACGCTTGGCATCCTTTTCTATTGTAACGGCCCTCCTTCTTCTCCACATTCTGTCACAGACAACGCTCCTTATCCTTGTATATTAAAGTAACAAGTGGTTTCCCATCCTGCCTAAAAAACGTGGTAAAATTGCTGTAATGTATAGCTTCGGATTAATTTTTGTTTATATACACAGCATATATAATTATATATGTCATTGATTATATAAACAACAACATTATAACAGACATCAGTGTTCAATAAATTTATGTATTTATTAATACTAGAAGAAGAAAATGTAACTATTTGCTAATGCAAAACATGCCAAGATGATGCAGGAGTGTTTTGGGTGGTTGCCAGGACATCGCTATTTGGTTGCTAGGGTGTTCTTATAAGTTTGTAAAGCATTGCTAAGTGGGTGCTAAGGTAGTTACCCCACCGTCAGATCTCAATAATATTTAGGTCCCTCCTTCAATGTAAGACAATGCAGAAATCTAGCTTTATATTGGGAACAGAATATATAGAGACGAGAAGTTTTTTTTCCACTGAATACTCTAGCAACCACACAGCTCTCAGAACACCTTAGTAACAGCATAGCAATTCCCTGGCAACCAGCCACCTCACCCTAGCATCAGGACAGCCTGTTTTGCATGGGAAAATCCCACTAATTTTGTTCAGTAGTTGTTGTAGTGGGACTTTCTTGAAAGACGCATATAAAAGAGTTGTATCTGAGTTTTTTGTTCTGTCAGCTTTGAATTATTTTCTGTTCTGCTCATTTTTTCTGTTTAGTTCCTCATTTTTCTCTTTGTCAGTAACATCTTTTAGGTCATGTAGTGCCATTAGGCAGAAATCATAACTCCCTCGCCTCAGTGTTGTGACAGACCGAGCTTTCACATTCTCATGAAGAAATACAAGTGATGGGTCTCCACACTGCTTTCAACAATAACAGCGCGTTGTGTTCATGTGCCTGTCTTAGCGATTGTTGTCTTGGCTCGAATCTGTCGTCAGCGAGAGGCTTTTTCAGGGCCGTTCTGGGGATACGGTCTTGGAGAGGTTGAGGGAACGATCAGAAATAGTGATTCAGCTGTCTTGCCGCTGTCTTCAACCTTGTTTTCAATCCGTTCTGCAGCCAGCTATTTCTCGACTCTTCTCATTTCTGCAATGATCGTGATCCGCAGTTTCAGCTTTAGTAGTGCTGTTACCTTTGAGCGCTTCAGGAGACATTTACAGGAGCTAAAAACAGCTAATTTGAGTCACATAATCAGTGCCGTCTAATAGATGCATGTGTAACAGGCCTCCTCAGCAGCGCTGTACAGAATCAATGGGGAATCGGAGCACAGCTGAGAAAACGAACCCTTATTGCCAGCCGTCGGTGGCAAATGAGCCAAATCAGGCGAAAGAGCCATCTGCTCCTGAACTGTACAGTATATAAAAGTTTAACCGATTAGATAAATGTGCTGTCTGAGGGGGCAAAAAGTTGTAAGATGGCCATTATAGAATTTACCATGGTAACCAAAGATTCAGCCACATTTATTGTTTCAGCAAATTTATTTTAAAGAAATAATAAGGGATCTCTTTGAAGGGGCTGTTCACATATGTTTAATTTTGCCTGTGCCATTTTTTTTTTTGGTCTTCTGTATGTGTACACGAGTCAGTCAGTCATATAATATATTGTTATATTTAAATAAAAACTAAATTTTAAATATTGTAGAATTATAATTGACCATGAAAGACTGGAAAACTGGAAATATTATTTTTCCTGTAAAACGTACTCCAATATTCTTAAATATCCAATATTTACTTTGAAAAATATATTTTTACAGTGTTTATCTTATTGAATTTTAATCTTTTTAATCTTCTAGCTTTGCCAGATTTTCATCCACTGTTGTTAAAAAATGTTTCAGAATGCAGTTTATAATGAAATTGAAGTATGTCCTGCATTATCAGTGTGCCTACAAGATATGTTATATTGAATATTAGAAAATGCTAAATAATGTTTAAAGAGAATCATGCCAAAAGTTAAGTTGAAGGTAACTCTATTGCCCCCTATTGAAGTTTATTACCACCACAGGAAGAACACAAGAATGCATTTACAGTACTTTTTTTGTTAACAACAACTGTATTTTAATGGAAACCATGCAAATTATGGTACGTCTCTCATGGAGAGCAAAAAATGATAAATTCCCTGTCTTCTGTTTGTTATGTGTTTGTTTGATTTTTTTCTTTTTTCTTTTTTATATGTCCTTGCCATGGTTTGTGAGCACTGTAACAGGAGGGAATCTGGGGAGGATTATAAAGCTGCTCTGCCATTTCTGACACGTAGGAAAGGAAATAGAGAAGTACAGAGATAAGAAAAAGGAGAAAACTAAAGGAAAAAATGTCAACGTTAAACGGGTTACGAGGGGAAAAAAAGCAAGGGAGATGAGGAATGACCAAAGATATTGACAGTTGAAAATGGGAAATAAAGAGAGTGGCATATTGATAATATTCTCTAAAACCTCTGGTCTTCCCCCTAACAAATTCTCTGTCTTCCCCTTCCCTTCCCTATTTTGTTAAATAACAATCTATTTAACAAAAAATATTTTTATATATCCAGTTTTGTCCTGCTTGTTTACATTTGCTTAAAAGAATATTAAACAAAATAAAATGATAAACTATTAAAAAAACTGAATCATATTCTTAATGATTCAAAAAATTATTGATTATTTAATGATTTAACTTAATCATAAAAAAATCTAAAGTATTGGACAGCACTGTATGTATTTTTTGTGCATAAGAAATCTGTACATTAAACAGATAATAGGCTGTAATTTGTGGCTAAATAGTACTCAGCTAACATGGGGTCAAAAAGAACCTCAAGAAGAAGACTTTTACTGACTATTTAGCACTCTTTCTGGCCTCAACAGGACAAAGGTCTAGATTCTTTTCATCATTTTTAGCTTAACTTCTTGGATTCTGAGTTCTGTTGTTTAATGTACAGATTTCTTATGCACAAAAAATACATGCAGTGCTGTCCAATACTTTAGATTTTTTTTATGATTAAGTTAAATCATTAAATAATCAATAATTTTTTTAATCATTAAGAATATGATTCAGTTTTTTTAATAGTTTATCATTTTATTTTGTTTAATATTCTTTTAAGCAAATATAAACAGGCAGGACAAAACTGGATATATAAAAATATTTTTTTGTTAAATAGATTGTTAAATTGAATTAAAAGTCTTTATTAAACATTTTTTATTTTATTATTTTTTATTTGTTTTATTTTGTTTTTATTTTCTTCATAATAATAATAATAATAATTATTATTATTATTATTATTATTATTGTTAATATTACTATTGTTTTTATTATTGTTATTTTGCAAGATTATTAAGTTATTTCATTTTATTGTATTTATATAAGTGTTTTATTTTTACAAGTATTTCATTTTTGTTTTGTATATGTAAAAATATGGCATCTGTGCATTTGGTCTTGTAGAGTAGATAAATGTCTACTCTTATAAATGTAGAGTAGACTCTATCTTACTCAATGCAAATGAAAACTAGGTTGTAAGGGACATAATATATAGTGTGTACAATGGGTTGCAGTGTTTGTACCTTCTTAAATCGATAAAGCATTGAAAATACACCGTTCTGAAAAATTTTCTGGAAAAAATGGCATGTGAAAATAAGATATGACCTAAAACAGTAGAATGTGTTAAACACAGCTTTTTTCTCACACAGCTTCATTTTTATTCACATCAAGTTAAATATGCTGTCTTCTCTGACTAATGTCCATTGAAGACAGTGGCAATAAAGATGGGCATTTATTGAATCACCTTGTGAGACTCAGCACTAGACCCTTCAGCAGTGGTTCTGCTCCACGTTGCTCTCCTTGACCACGTGCGCTGTCAAAGTCACTCAGTCGTTCACTCATTCACTACTCCCTGTATAGTCCATGCCACATGGTGCACCATATGGGTAAGCAATGAATGCAAATGAGTGAGTGATTTTGGATGCTCAGGTAAATACACTGTAAGAAAAATGAAAGATGTACTGGGCATTTTCTGTCAGAAATTTTGGATATTTCTTACATTATGGTACGTTATCTTACATGTAACTTTGAATACAAGGATCAACAACAAGCGTACCTTATTAAGCATTTATTTTATGTTATCTTATTTTAGATAAGATAAAAAAATGTTTTTTTTTATTTGATTTATCTTACATGTACAGTACTTTGTTAACAACAGTCAACGTGTGAACAAACATACTTCATTTAGCATATCTTATCTTATTTTATTTTATTCAATTCAATTCAATTCAAGTTTATTTGTATAGTGCTTTTCACATTATTTTATTTTATTTTTTGTAAGTATTTTATTTTATCTTGTGTTTTTTTTATAAACTACAGGTAACTTACTTTGTAAACAAGAATTATTGAACACACATATTTTATTAAGTTTTATTAATTTATTTTAATTACATTTTTAAGTATTTAATTCAATTTCATTTAATTTTTAAAGTATTTTATTTTATTTTGTAAGTTGTATTTTTGTAAGGGATTTAATTTTATTGCATTATTTTATTTCAAATCATTTTTGCAATCTTGAAACTGACCCATTTATGTTGTGCAGCATTTTATACTTATGTAAAATAAGTCCATGAACAAATCTATCTCAAGGAGCAGCAGAGTGTTCTCATGCTTCCCTAAAGCAGCAGTATCTATGGCATTCTAGGGTGAAGCAGTGCTACGTTCCTGTGTAGAAACAGCATTCATCTCCCAGTCATGTTAATTCATCAAGCCATTAAAATGCTGCTGATATCTGCTCCTCATGTCAACACTTTGATAATTCCTCTTTTATCCCTGTCAAAATAAATTAGAATGACGTGATATTTCAGCTTTTCGTGGTTGGTAAATCCTGCTTAATTCAGGACTTCTGACAGGGACACCTGCCTTTCCGCCCAAAGGTTATGACACATAACGGGTCACACTGTGTTTATGAGGAGATTATGGTGCTTTATGAGGACTGGCAGCATGGCACAGGGGTGAAGACGGGAGATTATGGGCGAGTGCTTTAGTGGTTTGTGACATCTGTCTGCACGTTCGTTCACACTTTCCTTCTTAAAGAGGTCATATCATACATTTTATATCATTGTTCATAGTAGTTGTTCTCTTCTGTTGTTCTTTAATGAATTCATATCACGAGGAATCTAATTTCCCTTGATCTTTTAAGATGAAAGAGCTCTATGAACTATGGAAACATACTGTAACTTTCAAAACTCAAAACTTTCTCCCAGTCCAAAAAACTCTGATCTTAACGGTTTGTGCAGCACGTTTCAGTGTGGATTGTTTTGTGATCTTGTCACAATGCAATGCAAGCTGTTATCTATACAGTTGAAAACTATATTTCACACAACAGCAAACGCACAAGCTGGTGTGTGAGCACTGCTTCTCATTTCATTTGCAAAGCAGGCGTTTCTTAAAGCCACAGAGGCAACTTCTTTGATGGTGGAAAATGTCCATGAAAAACTAAAATATGGCTGTGTAAACACTCTCAGTAACATCATTCAGTTTGCATCACTGTTTGCTGTCCGTTGCAATTGTTTACATTATCTGCCAGTTATTGTTTACATTATCTATCTGTTATTATCTTGTATTACCTTGTATTGTAAACAACAATAAACACATATGAACAAGCGTACATTAAGCATATTTCATTTTATTTTTGTACTTAATTTAATTTATTTTTGTGTTTTGAATTTAAGTTTTTTTTTGTAATTATTTGTAACTTTCTGTGTTTTATTTTTGTATTTTATTTTGTTTTGGTAAATGTTGTATTTTTGTAAGTGATGTAAAAAAAATTAAGTTACTTTTAAGCTAACTTCATTGTTTCTTGTATCTAGATTGTTTAGACTGGTTTTGTGAATCAGTTCAATATGTTCATTAAAAATGATCAAAATAACAATCTGTTCACTAATCTGACAATACTTTTTACAAAGACTGCACCTTATTGTCAAAGATTAATAAACTAATCTGCATTGAAAAGTGTCAAATGAACTGATAAATCCAGACTGAAATGATGAGGGACATAATGTTTTAGAATAAATCACAAATTGGAAAATTAAATTTACAAATGAAAATGAATATCGTTTGTAATGTTGGATTCATTCGGAAGGATGTTTCATAAATTTGGGTTTCTGACATAATAAATCCAATGGGTTTTATAATGGGTTGGTTTTTAAAGTTAAAGCATGTTTTGATTAACTTTTTTTTCTTTTCTTTTTTTTAACCAAAGATCAAAGACAATCTGATTTCTCATATGACCCCTATAATAGCATTTGTTCTCCTCCCTCGAGTTGTGCTGTTGGACTCTCTTTCTCTCTCTCCCGGTTTCCCTTCGTTTTCTCATCCACCCTCAGTCTGTATCAGCAAACATCCTCCGTCTTCCTCTGCTGAGCAACTTTGCCCAACTCTCTGTGAACTCTCCCAGAGTTGCGTCTTTGGAGTTTGGCAGAAAGAGGGAAAGTGAGGCTTTTAAAAGTTCTGTGTGGAGGGTTTTCACTTTTCACAGTTGCTTTCGACACTGTGTCAGCTTGTTTGTGAAATCTTTTTCTGAGTTAGCAAAGCTTATAAGAGACTTACGCCATGTGTTTTTGTGCAGCTGGCTCTCACATTGAGTGGTTGCCTGTATGTGCAGAGTAAGATGTCACTCTAGTCCTAGAAAATGAAAAGCAATTGGGGACTAATAGAAGGTATTTTTCGTACAGTGAAAATACCTGTAGGAAAGTAGGATCACGTATGACACGTCTTTATTGTTTTCCAACCACAGAGCAAACTGAACTTTTGCTTCCATTTAAATTTCATAAATCTTGTCTTGTGCTTCTCAGATTTTTCTCCTGTAGTTTTTCTTCTGTATCTCCAAAGGTTTCACAAGAGATCTTAACAATAAGAACTTTTTGATCAAATGATCAGAGCTATACTATTCATATTCATTGTATAGCTCTATACTCTTAGCATAGCATATGTCAACAATTGTCTGATTTTTATATACAAACATGTGATATTTTTCAGAAGTTTTATGCTTTAAATAGGGTGAGCTCCCCATTAAGTCTCATCATGTTATGAAAGAGCAATCTCAGAGCAATAATGTGTCCCTTCTGGGAGTTAGTCTACATTATAATGCCAAGCCTACCTACTTCTGTTTCCATAACCTTTGAAAGGTTTTATAAATTTCCGTTTGCCTTTCTCTCTCTCTTTCTTTGCAGGTAAAGTGCTGAATGCTGATTTGAGGCATTATCTTAGTCTGCAGTTCCAAAAAGGATCAATCGACCACAAACTGCAGCAAGTGATTCGAGACAACCTGTACCTGCGCACCATTCCATGTAAGACACACACATACACACAGTCTGTTCATTTCTTATTTATATTCATATTTATTTGTTAAAATAAATGTATTTCTTTTAAATAAGTCATTTATTTATTTATTTACTTGCATATGTTTTATTTGTATGGAGCCCCGCACATGACATGCAAGAAAAAATAAATAAATCGTGCGCACGTTTTACTAATTTGTTCCCTTGATGTACTAAAACGTGCACACAATTACTATTTTGTTCCCTCAATTTGCTAATTCGTTCCCTCGATTTGCTAAATTGTGCGCACAATTTACTAATTCGTTCGCTCGATTTATAAATCGTGTGCACGACTTAGCAAATCGAGGGAACGAAATAGTAAATCATGTGTACGATTTAGCCTACTATTTTTTTTCCTGCATGCCATGTGCGGGGCTCCGTATATTTGCAATATTGTTTTACACACAATATTTTTCATAAATATAAAAAATGTGTGACTGAAGAAGTGCCAGCTCACTGCAAAAAATGCTTTTCTTACTTAGATTTTTTTGTCTTGTTTCCAGCCAAAATATCTAAAAATTCTTAAATCAAGAAGGATTTTCTAGACAAGTAAAAATTATTGTCTTGTTTTCAGAAAAAAACATGTCAAAATTAAGTGAGTTTTTGCTTAGAACAAGCAAAATAATCTGCCAATGGGGTAAGCAAAATAATCTTATTTCAAACAGAAAACAAGATTATTTTGCTTTCCCCATTGGCAGATTATTTTGCTTGTTTCAGGCAAAAACTCACTTAATTTTGACATGTTTTTTTCTGAAAACAAGGCAATAATTTGTCCTCTTTGATTTAAGAATTTTTTAAATATTTTGGCTGAAAACAAGACAAAAAAAAAAACTAAGTAAGAAAAGCAGTTTTTGCAGTGAGTAATGGTAATAAAATGTATAAAATACATTACAATAAAATACAATTTCATACATATAATACAAAATATAATTATGTAAGATCATTTAAGCATATATATGTCCACTCTGTCTTACTCTGGCAGTCTGGTTATCTCATCTTACCTCTCGGTCTTTTCCCATTTAGTGTTTAGAGTGAATCCTTTGGCTGTTTCTCACACTAGTGTGTCTATTAGTGTAGTTGGGGAGACAGAGCCTCTCCTCAGGCGAAATCTCTCGTGTTGGTCTGGCCCTCTGCAGCACACCGCCAGCTCTCCTCTGTGATGTGCTGCATGAGATGCTGTTTCTCTTGAGAGTTGTGGAGTGGCTTTCTGAGAGCATGTTTCTTCTCCAAGCAGTAGCACACTGCTCATTAGTTTCTCATTCAGCTAGTTCGTTATTCCCTATTTAGTCTAATTTGATAAGTGACAGTGACAAATGTGTCACGAAACACTCTGAGGGGCAAATTTACTACGACACTTTAGTATGAGATATTTCAGTGCAAAAAAAAAATATATATATGCATCTTACTTACATGCTACCTACACTTCCTGCAGCATAATCTGTTTACCTGTTTTATAAAATAATTTCAGTCTTTTTTTTAGGAAAAACATACCTTTCTATGCAACTGTACATTTTTATAGAATGCACCAAACATGTAAAATTAATTGCTTATTGATAAACAAATTCATTTTAATGCAAGTTTGTCACAAAACCATACTGAACCTGAATAATACATTTTTCCTAATCTGGTAAAAAAAAAAAAAATAATAAATTAAACAGTTGATAATTGATTATGGTGTACACTACATAAAATACAACAAAACACTGCGAAGTATTATTACAATGTAACAATTTTTTAATGTTTAATTGAAAACGGAATTTTCAGCATCATTACTCCAGTCTTCAGTGTCACATGATCCTTCAGAAATCATTCTAATATGCTGATTTGCTGCTCAAGAAACATTTCTTTTTATTATCAATGTTGAAAACAGTTGTGTTGCTTAACATTTTTGGTGGAAATAATTTTTTTCCCAGAATTTTTTGAGGAATAGAAGTTTCAAAAGAACAGTGTTTGTTAAAACAGAAATCTTACATCATAAATGTATTTACTGTCACTTCTGATCAATTTAATGCATCTTTGCTGAAAACTTACTGACCGCACAAAGTTTTGAATTATGCTAGAAGATATATAGTACGATATAGTTACGCTGTGGGATGTATAGTATATATTTTCCTAAATTAATATTCTCCGATACTTTTTTGTGAAACAATATAATTCCTCCATACCTCATGCTGTTTCTTGCTCTTTGTAGCTCCTGTCACTCTGAATATACTTTCAGCATTATAAATGAGCAACTAAAGTTTATTTTTAACAATCCATGATCATCACGCCCATCACCAGTTTGCGCGCCACATTCCTGCACTGATTGTTTTGTGAACCTGTCAAAATCAAATGAAGACTATTGCAAAGATGCTGTTATTGAAGGCAGCCTGGGGTGGTGCAAACCATATTAGACTTGACAGCAAACATGCAGCTCTCAAGTAAAAGCGCAGCAAAGCGCAGCAAAGCGCCGTTACTGGTGTCATAAAGAGGGTGTTTACATAGACATCTTAAAGGCACAGCAACAAAAAAATTACCTGTCATTTGTAAAGGTGAAAGATAAGGTTGTAAAAAAGAAAGTTTGACTGATATCATAAGTGGACTTGAGAGGAAGTCACCCATTTAAAGAACTTGAAATACAGCCAGCGGAGGCTGTTTAGCTGTGCATTTTATCGCTGACAATAATCGTAGACATTAGCTAACACATTTTTGTTTTATTTCTGAATTTTTTGAAGTTTAAAAGAAGAATTAATTATGAAAAATTCCCCTACAAGAATTAAGAATTACTCTTTGATGTTTATGGAAAATTAGCAGGCTTGAGACAATCCGACTTCAAATAAAACAGCAAAGAATTTCCACTGGATGCCAATTTAAGCATAGCATCCTCTTCTCTTGTCCTTAGGTCACTCTGTTGTTGGTCTAGTTACTTCCTCTCTTTTTCTCTCTTTACCTTAGTCAGTAAATTATGAGAAGGGCCTGAAATGGCAGGGTAAAGGGGAAAAAGTATAGAAAAAAAGAGTTGGAGGAAGAGAGAGCCTCCGGTGTTTGCAGTCACGAAGCTGCTTTATGGAGTTATGAACAAAAGCTTTTAAAAGCTCCTCTGACGGAGAGGAATAAAGAGTAGCCTAAGGTGCCTGTCACGGAAACTGGTGTGTGGAGGCAGGCAGGACGACGAGGACGACAAGGATTCCAATAATGACGTTTATTGTAGACACAACAAGGCAGGTTCAGGTAGGTGAGACACACACTCGGGGTAACATTAACAATAACCGACACTAAAGCTCTGACAGACAGGAACTAATATATGGTGGATAATTAGTGGCAGACAGGTGAGCACAATGAGGGTAATTAATGATTAGTACGGGCTAAACCAACACAAGGGGAAGAAACCACAATAAACAGTCCACAGGGGCGTTACAGTGCCACTCATATCCCTTCTCCACCAGAATGCTGCCGGAGCAGGTGCTCACCCGGGGGATCTGTGGACCTCTTTTAGAACCGGCCTGTGATTAAACTGACTTCAGAGGCCGGCTAAGATGTAACTGTTATTACATAACCTGCTCACAACCTGCCACATCACAGTCTTTGTTTACAAGTCTTTGGGCGAACCAGAGTTTACGCTGCGTCAGAGAGTACTGTGAATGATTTAGTTTCTACTGAGACGGTTATGTCACAAAGATATAATGCGTTTGTGGAAGATGTGTTGCATTTTGCAAAACAAAAGTCTGGAACGAAAGTAGGCATTCGTAGAACAATGAGTATTTAAGAGTCAAATTTACTCTACTGCGATCGTTCACTTGATTTTAAACTTACTCTGCTTTATTTAAATGTATAATATTCTAATATTTTGGCTTAGATGTAAATGTAATATTATAAATTACATTTTTATGTATTATGTGCTTTTTTAAATTATTTAATTTTTTAAGTACTATTGAAAACATTTTTTTTTTTTAAAGAAGTTTCTTATGCTCACCTAGTCTGCATTTATTTGATAAAAACAGTGATATTGTGAAATATTTTTACAATTGAAAAATCTATTTTATATTGTAATATATTTTTGAAAATAATTTATTCCTGTGATGGCAAAACTGAATTTTCAGCCTCAAGTCTTCAATGCCAGTAATCTGTATAATATGGCAATTTGGTGCTTAAGAAACATTTCTTATTAATTATCAACCATTTTAACTGAAATAGTGTTGCTTAATATTTTGGTGGAATCTTTTAGGATTCTTTGATTGAATAGAAAGGTAAAAAGCATTTATGTGAAAACGAAATCTTTTGTAACATTATAAATGTCTTTTCTGTCACTTTTGATTAGTTTCACAAGTCCTTGCTGAATAAAAGTATTAATTTCCTTTAAATAATTTTATATTATTAAAGTAAAATTCATAACAATTAACTCAATTTACTTATGATATTTGCAAATAATTTTCTTTCACATGGACAGAGAAAATAATGTGGCTGGGAAAGTCTACACCTCTACTCTCCTCCCTTCATTATCATTATTTTATGGATCTTGAGCAAGTTAACCCCTTTTAACCTTGCCGGTGGATATTCACATATCTTTAACCAGTGCCGTTGTTCCAGTTCCCTCTTCTTGTGGCATTTAAACAGTTGCTCTCCCAGGAAAATGTAAGGAGCCCGTTTTTAATATTATTTGCTCTTAAGTTAGAGTCAAGTCTCCGCAGACACTTGACTCTGGCATTTCAGTTTGCTGGTTCTAATGTAAATGTCCTTCAAATGACAGTAGAGCCTGGTGGCATTTCCTAGCACACACACGAACAGAGCCGAGAAATGTCATCTTTTATTTTTGGCCTTTTATTCGCAAGAAATGCCACCCTCGGATGTCTCTTATGAGGATTTTGCTGCTAAACAACCCACCTCTGAAATCAGGTCCAAACATGTACAGTTTATGTTTGATATTTTTTGAGCAAACACACTCACGCAGGCTTAAACACAGAGAATTAACATTTTTATCTTGGTTTAGGGGTGAAAAAGCAGACATCCATTAATAGTTCACCCAAAAATGGAAGCTCTCATCATGTTTAAATCCATATGATTGTTGGTATGGTATTTTTTAAAGACTACTACACTACAGACACAGTTTTCAAACGTGCCAAATGCTTTAGAGACTGAATCTTATTTTACACAATCTGTGCACACTTTCCACCTCTGTGTCACCGACTCCCTTGTAAATGGAGCAATATGTGACTATACTATGCTTGAATAACACATAACACAAGATTTCCTCTGATATGATGTAATATGACCGTGTTCTACACAGTTTGGCTAATAAGTACATCTCTGTGTGTTTCCAAACCATTTTCACAGGAATTATGTTAAAGCATGTGCTTTTTTTAATCTTTTAAAGGGGTCATATGACGTTGCTAACAAAGAACATTATTTGGTGTAATGAAATGTGTTTATGTGGTTTAAGGTTCAAAAAACATTATTTTCCACATGGTGGCGGCGGCAACAACAATACTACAGTGAGAATCAAAGTTACGCCTTCTTTCTTTGCATTAACATGTGGGCAGTGTTATGCAAATCTTCCCACACAGTGACGTAGACATGTGGGGCGTGTTTAAACGAGGCGTTTTAGGAGGGCGTGGACGAGTCTTAACTTTTATAAAGAATATCTCTTTGGGTTTGAGACTTTAGTCTTTGCAACTTTAGGGATCTTATCTATTCACGAACAGCTTGTAACACTCCAAAGAGAAAGGAAAACTTGAAATCGCATCATATGACCCCTTTAAATCCTCGCGAATGGCCAAAACCACCCTTTTTCTTTCCATATAATCCATCCAGTTTCACAATTCCAGATTCGGAATCCCAGTTTCCAAATCTCATCTATGGGAGATCAGTTCTATTTACAGTTTCGAATGGAGTGCACTTGTTCTGAAAGGAAATGCTGAAACACACCCAGGGAATCCAATTTTAGTTCTGCTCAATCTGAGGCTGTTTAGACAGACACAAAGTTTGCAGTCAAGGGGATTGTGGGTGTAGGACATTCTCACCAGAACTGGTTCACTGTCTCTAATTGTGTTTGTTTTACTGGAAGGTACCACCCGGCTGCCCAGAGATGGGGAGGTTCCAGGAGTGGACTATAATTTCATCAGCATGGGGGATTTTCGCATCCTGGAAGAGAGTGGATTACTGCTGGAGAGCGGAACATATGATGGTATGAAACACTGTTTCTATACTGATATTGTTCATACAAACTTACATGAATGATATCTCAAATCATATTCCTTGTTGGAAAGAGGTGTGCTGTTTCTTTTCTATGTTGTCAGAATTATGATTTTCACCTCACAGACGATAAAACGGGTGACAAAATTCACATTGAATGCAATGAAGCTTTTCATTTATAGACCCAAAGCCTAAAATCTAAGTTTTGCCAAAATTTAAACACTACTCTTATGCTGCCTGTCAAACACTGGCATTTCTGGAAATGTACGTCTAGTGTTTACATTCGATAGTCGTGTTGTTTACTTGACTGAGGTGAACTCTGTCACCAACACCTCGAGGCATTTATCTTGTCTAAAAAGAATTTCATGACAGTGCAGTTTCAAAAAAGTACTATGGATTTAGCCTCCAAATCTTACAGGCAGTGAGTCAGTTAGCACAGGTTTACACCATGCAAACATGCTTTGCAGAGCTTGAGGTAAACTGCTGAAAAAGGACACAAGGAAGACAAAATTGGCAGTCTGTTGCCTGTAATGGCACTTTCCACAAATTTTCCCCAACAAACATTGTATGAAAGGAGCTGCTTAACTTTCAGAAAATAAGCAGTACCTAGCTACTTTTCATGCTAAGCTAATTAGACAATAGTTTATCTTGTGTGTCTGTGTGTGTGTGTGTGTATACTGTATGTGTATATGTAAACTGTTAGAAAAAGGTGCAAATGCTGTACCATTTAGATACTATTATATACACTTAAGGTTCATATATGTACCTTTAAAGTACTAAAATGCATCTTTTAGGGGTAAATAAGGTACAAAGGTGTACCTTTTGAAAGAATATGTGTACATTTTTTTTTTTTTTTACTGACCATTTCATTTTTTTATAATATATAAATTATTCATGATGTGTAAATATGAGTAAACATGATATGTAAACAAATTATGTACAAAATGTGTGTACGCACACACACACACACACACACACACACACTGCCATTCAATATTTTAATGTCAATAAGATTTTTTAAATTCTTTTATTTAGCAAGGAGGCATTAAATTAATGAAAAGTGACAGTAAAGACATTTATAAATATTTTTCTAAATTTCTATTTCAAATAAATGCTGTTCTTTTGAACATCCTATTCAGTGTTTCTTGAGCAGCAAATCAGTATATTAGTATGATTTTAGAAGGATGACTGGAGTAATGATGCTGAAAATTTTGACTTTTTAAAATATATTTCAATAAAAAACAATTGCAATTGTAATACATTTTTACTCTATTTTTGATCAAATAAATACAGCCTTGGTAAGCACAAGATGAATGGTCCTATATATAATTTATTTTCAGAGCACTTTCTTTTTCCTTCATTAATGAAACGCAAAAAAGCTTTGTGTTTGTCCTCCCCTCTGCAGTCTGGTGGGTTTGGATGTCTCTGTCCTCAGAGACAGATAGCGTGCCAGCCGAGTGCATTCATTGTGGCCCCATGTCGACAGTGGGACCAGACTCATGCCAGGCAAAGCCTGCTGGGACAGGGAGCCATGCCAGTATGGAAATGCCCATATGTGCTCTGCTCTCAAAGAGGGAGACGTTCTGATCCTATGACACACACACATGCATGCTAACACACAGACGTACACTAATCCCGGCAGACTGTTCCCTAAAGGAATAGTTCACATCAGGAAGTTACAGTCGGGTTTTACAATATATTTACTGGACATTTTACCCTTAATGCAGCATTACTGTATATAGATTTGTCTCTGTGTGGTCATGCTTGAGCAATAGCGAACAGATGCTAGGCATTTCTGATTCATACATTCCAGTAGTGTGGATAAATTTACAACTCTCAAGGCAGCTTTTAATGTAATCCTGTCAAAGCAAGCTTGGTTGAATTAAGAGTTGATCCTGATCAATAAAGATTTAGCGCTTGTTGAAAGCACACAGACATAAAGAATCTCAAAGGGGGCAATCTGTAAACATGAATAAACTGTGACACAATTTACTATACTTGCTGCCTGTTGAGTCACTTATCAACATAATTTTTAGTCCAATAAATGGATAGATGTCCTGTGCTCACTTGGAATAATTCTAATTTATTGACATGGTAAAAAATATAATTTTTGAGTTTGTTAATACATAATTAATATTTTGAAAAAAGAAAAAGTCAAGGGCCGTCAATGTCCAATACTCTGGACGCATTTAAAAAAATATAGATGATAAAATACAATTACAAAATTAAAAAAATTACAATAATGAGACTGGATTTGAGTTTAAATGCATTTATGAAAATATGAAAATAATACAAACAAATCTTAATCTTAAAATAGTTTTAATTTTCTTCAAAGTATAATTTTATTTAGTAAAAAATATAAAGATTTTGGATAAAGCAAATGAAATCTATTTTTAGGGCTGTTAAATTGTTCGAATTATGTCATTATTTACAGTAATACATGGGGGGGGGAAATCATGCTGTCAGGACAAACTTTAATAATAATAATAATAATAATAATAATAATAAATTAAGATAAAAAATCATAGAGTAATGAGACAAGTTTTATTGTACTTATGAAAATATGCAAAGAAAGCAAACAAATCTTAGTCTTTTTTTCTTTTGATTTATAGATGGAAATATGACTTTTCTTTGCCGTTTTCATTTAGATTCACTCAAAGACATTAGATTCACTCAAAATTCATTTTGTGTATTTTTAGAAAGTTTTTAAAATGAATTTGCTGAATGTTAGTACACTTTTTATTAAATGTAGGCAATATATGTGCTACTTTGTTTGGACCTCTTATGTTGTGTAAAGCCCATAAACCTCTGCAATCTGTCCACATTCCTCCATTTGATCTATTTTGATGTTATAGCTGCACTTTATGTGCACCAGAATTTTTTGACAACATTAAGAGAACACAGGGACGTTCCCCTCGTTGAGGGATTATACGGCTCTCTGCAGATTACTGGCGACAGATGAGGCTGTAAATCTGCTCTGATACTGAGTGTGGCACATACATTCTGATTGCATCATGGTTAGCTGAGTGCATATGTGCTGATTAATCAGGGTTACTGCATCATGCAACGGCTCTAATTAGCCAAGCACTTACCTAGCATTTATTTCAAACCATGTTGTATGTAATAAAGAGTTGTGTTGCCAGTGTGTGTTTATCCGTGGAAGGAGATGATCTTTGCTGGTAAAGAGAAGTTGTTCAGTATACTAAAATGTACTGTCTCTTTAAGAAGGTTTCAGTCTTTCAAGTTGAAAATTTGTCATCTCTTCCAAGTGGTATGGAAAGGCTGCATGTATTTGATCAAAAATGCAGTAAAACAGTAATATTGTGAAATATTATTACAATTTAAAAGAACAAAAGCATAAAAAAAATCCTAAAGATTCCAATCTTTTGAATGGTAGTGTACATAGGTTTACTTGCCCCTTCATGTGCCATAAATAAAGTCAAACTGTGCTTAGTTGATTTAAATGTTCAAGCATCCCTTCTTGTCTAATTGTGCAGCTCTTCACCAGAATAAGCTGCAAAATGGACCAAAATTTATGCCGATATTCAAATGTCTGTCTCAGTGAGACTATAGTCTTGGAAACATGGTGTTTTCGCATGATGATGTACAAAATGTATAACAAATGTTATGGTAGCAGCACAAAAGGTTTCCTTATGCTGTGACACTGGATAGCAGGAGATCTCATTTGTATAATGAAGAAAGACAGCGAGGGATAGAGTGAATATTCATCACTGCATATTCATGAGAGGTGAGCGAAGTTGTCAACAGTAGTTAATTGCTTGTGAAAAAGCTTATTCCCACATGGTTTCAGTTTCTATTTGCTAATTAAACTCTTTAGAATTTACAATCTAAAAAGGAGAGGATTAATCTTTCAGCTGATTACAAGGATTATATTTTACATTGGCAAAAGATGAATATGTGACCTTTAAAAGCTTTTTTGTTCTTCCAGAGATGTTAATGATGTCTAGGGGCAGCATATTTATTTTAAGAATGAAGCGAGCAAACAAACAAAACAACAAATTTTGATAATTTAAATTAATCTGCGTATAATTGATGAAGGTTGAACGGTTGATTTGAAAAAATCATACTGAGAGTGATTTCTTTAGTGTTACATCAAGGGGGAATAATGAAGCGCAACCCCCGCCCCCCCCGCCCACACACACACACACACATATTGAAATGTACCACCAAATTAGAAATTCAATTGAATACATTATGCTGCTCCACTGATTGGCTGTGCCATTGTTTCTGATGCATATTAATGAACTGATTTTTGCATGAGAAGATAGTGGGAAAAGTTTCATTACTGAATCCAGTGGTGAGTGTAATTACTTTCAACGCACCACCGAATGGAAAGAGTATAACATTTCACACTGCATATTGGATTGTCGACACCTAGATCTTCGTTTTTGAGAAAGCTGGGACTGAGGAAGAAAGCGAAGGTAGTGATAAAGAGATAAATTTGCAGGCAGCTCTTGTCTCAGTGTTACAGAATCTGTTGTTTTATCGGGTTTGTGGCTAGTTAAATCGAAGATAATGTAGCAAAAATGTTGAATCAAAGCTCTAAAGTTTTAAAGTATCTGCTTTTATGACTTAAACAAAGGTATCATGAATCAAAAGAGTTTTTTTTTTTTGTCTTTAAACAAGGCACTCTTCATTTTCAGGTAACTTCTATGGCACTCCCAAACCTCCTGCGGAGCCCAACTTGGTTCAGCCTGACCTGGTCGACCAGGTTTTGTTTGAGGAGGATTATGGCACCGAAATCCAACGAAAGCGAACAACCTCCGTCAGCAAGATGGACCGCAAGGACAGTGTGGTCCCTGAGGAGGAAGAGGATGAGGAACGGCCACAGCTCCCAAATGGCATCCCAGGTCCGTGGACAGACTTTAATGTGTGTGTGCTTTTGTTAACCAAAATGTGTACGATTGCAGTCTAAAAATTCCCACCCATATTGATACAGGCTGTGCATTTTTGCAATAAATATCTTGGGACTTTGGCTCAGTGTTATTTTAGTATTATTTATATATGATAGTATTTATTAATATTTTGAATTAGCATTATTTTTTATTATTATTTTCAGTTTTCATTTTAATTTCACTTTTAGTGATTTCCTGTTGTTATTTTTTTTTTTCCTATTTAGCTTTCATTTATTTTTTTTATTTCATTTTTAGTTTTAGTCATTTTAGTACTTCAACTTAAATGTATCAGATAGCTGCCAAATCAACATTTCTCATTTTTATGTTTTTTAAGTGTAAGCTTTTCATTTAATATTTATATTTAAATAATTTAATAAAACATTGTATTTTTACTTCAGTTGCTGTGCTCCTGGCACTTTTGTATTAGTAGTCATACTTCAGAACTGCAACCCAAAATTTCTGTAACTGTCAGAATTTCATTGGAGGTTAAGATTAATCGCAAAGGCAATTAATAGGCTGTTGGGGAGCATGTCAAATGAAGTGATCAAAGACTGCTGATTTTGCCCTGCAAGAAAGAAGTCTTTAATATTCCTGAAATTTGTCTCAGACAGCAAATCTTTTCCAAAATCCCTGTGTGCTTGAGGCTTTAACCTGCAGTCTTCTTCACTTATGTGCAAGTGATCAGTCTGAGGCCGTACATGATCTCTCAGAGAAGAACCCCGTCCTTTACTCAAGGAGAAATCAGCACTGAGAGGCAAGCTTTGCTTAAAAAAGAGCCAAACCCCCTGCTCACATGCTCTCATTAGTTCACAGTATAACCTTATAATCCTTTTGAGATCAGCAGTTGTGCTTTCAAGGCTCCAGGCCTGAAATTTATGCTCTATTTGTATACTGCAGTACTTCAGAGTAGTGTTTGGCAAGCGAGTCACATTGCTCCATAATGGCTTGCTTAATGCGTGGAGGATTCATGTCCATGACCCTGGTGTTGATCAGCTTTAAACATAAATGAGCTGTTTAGATGTTTACGGGTCTTTAACTTTTAACCCTAGCTTTTAACTTCAGACAATGTAAGCCTCTAGCGTCCCCAGGAGAAACCAAGCTTACAGTGGGTACGGAAAGTATTCAGACCCCCTTCAATTTTTCACTCTTTGTTATATTGCAGCCATTTGCTAAAAAAAATTAACTTAAATGATTTTAGCAAATGGCTGCAATATAACAAAGAGTGACAAATTGAAGGGGGTCTGAATACTTTCCGTACCCACTGTATATCCTCAGTATTTTTTAATATTAAATTATGTATGTCTTATGTAATGATCTTATATTATACTTATATTAGGTGCATCTGTTTTTGTTTAGGCTGTGTGGGATATATAGGTGTACGTAACTTGATAAAGAAATATAAACAGATTTAAACTTTCAGGCCCTGAGTTTCACCAAATCTATCTATCTATCTATCTATCTATCTATCTATCTATCTATCTATCTATCTATCTATCTATCTGTCTGTCTATCTATCTATCTATCATCTGTCTGTCTGTCTGTCTGTCATAGTAAATACTTGACATAGTAAAATGTTAATCTTAGACCGTAGTATCATGGTAATGCTATATTTGCACATGCACCATGATTTTCCATGTTTAATTCCATGATTTTCCATGAAATACCATCTAAATACTGCTAAATCCTACTAAATACTATGGTAATCATTCAGTAACACTGTATATATATCTATGTACTATTGTATTTCCCTTTAATACCGTGGTATCTTTACAGCACCCTTGTTCAATCTTTCTGGTTGCCTTCTTATAGCTTCCTTGAACTTATCTTTACAGTAAATGCTTTAAAAAGACCCTTGACACAGTTGTTGTTTCCCGCGATGTATTGCTATTAATTAAAAGCTGCTGTGTTTGTATAGTCATGTTTGACTACTCGGACTGATGAGGTCTTCCCTCCCAGCCTTGGCATAAGCCAGTGGAGAGGGAATAGTTGTTGGGGGGAGCGCTCGGGGGGGAGCGCTCTGGGTCCGGACTTAAACCCGAGCTCGAACCCCTCTCCCCGGACAGGGGGATTACCCCGGGCTCGAGAGTAATTACCGAGCTCGGAGCCCTCTCCCTGGACAGCACACCAAATATGCATAACCTTTACTCTGTTCATTATATGTAAGTGTGAACTCGTGAAGAGACGTTTAATGGGGAGTGTCCTTGCCGCAGAACAGTGTCATATTTGCTTTAAAGTGGCTTCTGCCACTTCAAGTGTGTTCAAACAGAGGGAAAATGGCAGCAAATTAGTTATCATGCATGCACACGCATACTTACTGCTGTTACGTACAAACACAGACAGCTGCTGTTACCACGGGCATTTCTTGCTATGATGCAGTGTTGCGGAAATAAAGTACAATGCTGTAGCCTTTTTTATTGAACTGTAGTCATTACTGCATTCAATTATGTACATTTACTCAAAATATTCAGATTTTTGATGATGTGCAAAACTGTGCAGAATCCATCAGATTAGAGCTTGCAGTTTTTAAAATTAGTCAAATCCTGTTGCATGGTAATAGTCAAAATCTTTGTATAGTACTTTTACACAGTTTCAAAGCAGCTTTACAGAAAATCATGATGTTAATGTTTATAGTATCTTAATATCTTTGTGCCTTATAGTCACATTTAGCAGATTAGAACTGGACGATAATATAGTTTATATTTTGTAACAATACAAGCAATCAGGCAGTTGAGATTTGCTATATAGAATATATCATCCTATGCGCATATACTGTATGTATGTGGATAAGGTTGGACATACTTATATATCCAACTTTATATAAAAGGCTAGGAGGTAATATTGTTACTTTTTGTGATGAAATGAAAAAATCTGGCTTTTGAGATTTGTTATATAGTATATTTTGCTTTACATGAGTGTACTGTCTTATTGCAGATAAAGCTGGATATAATATACTGTATATCCAACTTTATAGAGATATGCAATAATACATTTTGCATTTGGCGACAATATAAACAATCCAGCAGCCGGGATTTGCTATATAGAATATATCGCCTTACATGAGTTTATTGTATGTATGTGGATAGAGTTGGAAATACTTATATATCCAAGTTTATATAAAGAGCTAGGTGGTCATACGTAGTTACATTTTGCAGCAGTAAAAATCAGGCTGTTGCGATTTGCTCTATAGTATATACAGGTGCATCTCAATAAATTAGAATGTCATGGAAAAGTTCATTTATTTCAGTAATTCAACTCAAATTGTGAAACTCGTGTATTAAATAAATTCAATGCACATAGACTGAAGTAGTTTAAGTCTTTGGTTCTTTTAATTGTGATGATTTTGGCTCACATTTAACAAAAACCCACCAATTCACTATCTCAACAAATTAGAATATGGTGACATGCCAATCAGCTAATCAACTCAAAACACCTGCAAAGGTTTCCTGAGCCTTCAAAATGGTCTCTCAGTTTGGTTCACTAGGCTACACAATCATGGGGAAGACTGCTGATCTGACAGTTGTCCAGAAGACAATCATTGACACCCTTCACACGGAGGGTAAGCTCCATGACATTCTAATTTATTGAGATGCACCTGTATATCACCCTATGCAAGTATATTGTACATATGCAGATAAAGATTTATGTAATATACATCCAACTTTGTCAATAGAGCTGTGTGATAATGCTGTTTACATTTTGGGATGATATAAATTGTCACATAGCCGCGATTTGCTGTATAGTATATATTGTTTTACATGAGTATATTGTAAGTATGCAGGTAAAGTAGGTAGGATGCACTATTTATCCAACTTTTGAAATATCGCTGGCCAATAATATAGTTTTTTCGACATTTTTTGACAATATAACAATCAAATTGAGATTTGCTATATAGTAGCATTGATTTTTGTTAATAATTAAATTATGTCATTAAATTGTGGCTATATATGCTTTTTCTGCTGTGTACCTAAAACAGGAAAAGATCTTGCGTGCACACCGTCCTACTTTGGCATGCAAATCATTCTCCTGAGTTAGTTTTGCACTGTTTTTATCTTCTTTCCTTCTGCAGAGAGGACAGAGGAGTGGAGGAAAGCTGTGCCCAGCTACACTCAGTCCAGTGGTGGAGGCAGCGCAGGTGGCAGTGGGACACTGGAAGTCCACACCTGGAGCTCTTTAGCCAGAGACGACAGCCTGGAGCCCCTGCCGTGCAACTGGGAAATGGCCTACACAGAGACGGGCATGGTCTACTTCATAGAGTAAGTGTGTGTGGCCGTCAGAGGAGAGATTTAGACTTTACTAACTGCAAGAAGTCTGCTGCTGTACTCATAAATTTTGGGTCAACTTCTGGTTTATGGCCTGTTCATAAATAATAAGGCCTGTTCGTAGCTTTGGGACTAGGGATGTATTAACAGAGAAAAGTGCATTTCATATAAAAAAAAGTGAAGATGTGCAGTTACTTTAAAGATCTCATTGTAATTTCCGTTATTAAATTCTGCTATTCAAACTTGTTGCATCATATTCAGATACAAGATACTATTTATGTTTAATCATGCACATGGGCATATTTCATCATGAGATTAGAGAGCTATGGTAGAGGTTAAGACTTTCAGCATTAATTTAGATGCAATTTCTGTAAATTGTAAATATATTTATATTATTTACAAAATCTATATGTAAATTCTGTCATGATATTAATATTATCCATTACAGACTTATTTTTGGTTATTTTGAACCCATGGCTTTATACCTTTGAACCGAATGTATACCTTGAAGTCTTGATGTTTTTTTTATTGTTATCACTCACATTGCTTAACGCCATCTGATTTGACACACTGTATATCACAGAATGTTGTTTTTGTGTTTATTATTGTTTTCACACTACTGAATGTCATGCGGGATTTGATGCACTATTCACAATACCAAAGGATATTGTTTTGTTTGTTTTTGTATTTTATTTTGCATTTATTGCCACTGTAGTATTCCTGTGGAGTGTTTTCATTTTTTATTGCTGGAGGTTCTTAAAGTAATATTTTGATGCAGTAGCTGTATGCAAAGACATTATATGAAATTGCATATTTATACAAAGTTTTTATTTACTGTCTTTAAATTTGCTCCCCAATATTCCCTTTTATAGGCAGTAATATTTGTTAGCAGGCAAGACATTTTCCCCTCCATAGCACTGCCGTCTGATTCTATTCAGGTCAACTCTCAAACTCCATCAACATAGTATTCCAGTTTCTGTTTTCACAAACGGCATGCTTTATCACTTTCTCTCCCCGTCTTGCTGATATCTGATGTTTTTCTCACTCTGAAAAAGTGTTGCTTTTAAAAGTCAAGAGCAGAGCTGTCAGAACGAAAGAATAAATATAGCTCGCAGTGTGGCCTGAATGCTCTTTAAAGAACAGAGTCAAAGTTCTGTTTGTGTGAGCGTGTGTGTGTGTGCATTTGGGGTCGCAATCATTTATATTTTAGTGGTTCCAAAATTTTCCAGTTTAGTTAATAAGACTCATGACTACAGGCCATTGAAAATCGTACCCTCTTTGACCTGCCAAGGCTTTATAATAACTTTCTTTGATGCATTACATTAGTATAAATAAGCGGTTCTCAAACTGAGGTCAATGCAATATCAAAAATAGACCTAAATAATAAAACAATTGACAAAAAGCACTAACAATGAATTAATCAACTAATGAATCAGTTCATAATAATGAATGAATACGCTCGGTCCAACTGCTTGCGATTAGTCAGTTCATTAAGGTTCATCAGCTGAAAGTAGCAGTCTAGTTTATTTTAATAAAAGAACAAAACAACAGTCTAGCAAATTGATGGTAACTCGGGGTGTTATGTAGCCCACAATTTTAGTTTTACTCTTGTGAAATACTAGTTTAAATACAGGTCAGGTATCTAATGCATTTTCTTTTTTGTTTTATAGCCACAACACAAAGTCGACTACATGGTTGGACCCGCGTCTGGTCAAAAAAGCCAAGCCCCCTGAAAAGTGTGAGGATGGAGGTGAATCATTGCATTTACATATTTATACATGAAGTCGTAAACATGTATGACAGCCACATGCATATGAAAATAGAAGTTCAGTTGCATTCAATCAGATGTGTGTACCCTTCCACATTCACACGCCGCAGAGGG